TGAGAGGCGCTCACTATCACTTGTTATCATAATAAGAAAGAGTTGGGTACCCGTCGGGGTATAGTCGTTGGACTTTGTGGAAAGGGGAGCCCGTGTCTGTCCTACTTCTCCGCAGTGGTGAAGTTATTTGCAATGCGGCCGCCACCAAGATCAGGTCGGGAGCACCCTAGATGTCTGGGCACGCCCTCTAGCCTACCAACACGGAATGGGGAGGCAGCACCGGAGGCGATCAGCTTGCATAGTGGCCAGGTGGAAGAAGGAGGCTCGGGTGCAGGGACTGACCATTCAGAGAGGTCATGGCACTGTCTGCGGTATCTCACAAATATCATAGCATCTCCATCCCAGGCGCCAGTCCTTCCTGCTAGCCACTCAGTCGGCGATCACCAGGGTTAGACCACGACTTGATGACTTTAGTTTCGGGTAGGGTAGTATCAACTACTGTCGTTGTGGTTGATAACGTGGTAGGAGTTGGACGCAAGTCATGGAGCTTGCCAACGACTGCATACCTCAGCGGCCTGCACAGTTGTGGGTGTCGGAAAGACTCTTACATGATTCTGAGCAGTTGGCCATCGCCAGTGCTCTTTTCATGGGAGTTGCATTTGCTGGGCTTATGGTAGTATGCTGAATACAAGTAGATGTGATGAGAGTATCGTCTTGGTAGGTTCCATCTGTCGATTGGCTGGAGCGTTCGGAGCAATACGCTATGATTGTCGCTCCCATGTACGTCACTTTTATGAGCCTTTCGGGTCTGTCCGCCCTCTGCAGCGTCACGGCCTCATATGCTCGTAGTCTGGCATTTAATAAGGTGACCATCATCACCTACCATACCTCATCTTCCTCTCAACCTACGAGTAGGTACCTTACCCTATGCTACCCCGTTTCGTGGCCGAGCTCAAGTCCGGTGGCTATTGGATGTTCTTTCGCGAACCAGCCTTCTGGTTCCTCACTAGTGCTACTAGTCTCGTTTGCGGTCTGGCATGTGGCGCGTAGGTATCTGCTCAGCCCCTCTTCCCGAACGTATCCGCTTCACATTTTCAGGGCCCTTCTATATGGTCTGAAGCATGCCCTTGTGGCTCTGGTGCTCTTTTTGTTAGTACTATTTTGCCAGGTAAAAGGTTCCTATCTGTCCATGTTTCGGATCATGACTCAATTTTTCAGACGTACATTTGGATATGGTGGCCAAGGATGTTGAGGTCCCATCAAGAGGAGATGCTCGCGGAGGTAGTACCTGCTTGGCCAGTGTTATCAACAACTCCATGCATGGTATCAGGTCCGAGAACGCGAACTCGCTCACTCCCAGAGGAGGTTCAAAACGAGCCGCAGTTCAGCTAGTACGGATATGGGCTCAAGGACGTTCAACAGGTCGGCACTGTGTAATGCGCTTAACAGCGACTTGCTCTTTTCCGCAGTTATCGTGACGAGGGTCTTAGCGGCGAATTTGGTTCCGTGATGGAGATGGTTTGATATAAGGGAATCCACTCATTTTATTCGTCCTCGTTCCTATCACGCGGACTGTCACATTTTCAGTCATTGTTGATAACAGACAGACATAATCTCACAGAGTAGATCCTGGATGTAATCGTTCGACAATATTTCATTTACTTAACTCACTTGTGATTGTTACAACCAGGAGAACGGCATCGTTTTTTACGCTGGTCTCCCTCATTTTCTCCTGTCGACGACCGCATACATTGATTTTTTCCATCTACAGAGGATTGTGTTCGCGGGATCATCGCGGGTGAGATCCGGCGTAGGTTTTTTGATCCTTCTCATTTCCAGTCACTTTTTGGGCAGTATTGAGCATGGGAAATATACCAGGAGGAATGGGCGGCCCTGGAGGGCCGGGTGGTGGTGATAAGAAGAAACAGGACAAGTCGAAGAAGAAGGGACCTGCTCCTCCACCAGCGCACTTTGGCAGGAGAAAGAAGCGCGTTAATAAGGGTAGTTGGAGATGCATTAGATTTAGTGACAGTATCTGGTTCGCGGCTAGGCCCACCGGGCATGTCAAAGATACCCACGGTAGTCCCCACGAGCAAGTGCAGGCTCCGAATGCTCAAGCTGGATAGGATTAAGGTAAGTTCGTCGTTGGTCGCGTTAGAGGAGAGGCGCTTGTCTTAGGATTACCTGCTGATGGAGGAGGAGTTCATCAATAGGCAAGAGGCCATGAAAGTTGGCGGAGAGGATAGGACTGAGGAGGAGAGGAACAAGGTGGTGCTGGAGGCCCAGGTTCGTTCCCGGCATCTGGCAACTTTTCTGTTTTAGGTTGATGAGATCCGTGGCAAGCCGATCAGTGTTGGCAACCTGGAGGAGCTCATAGACGACAGCCATGCCATCGTCTCTACCTCCAATGGCCCCGAGTAGTACAGTGTTCCCTGCTGTTATTGCTCACTACTATCCCTCAGGTTTTACGTCAACATTCTCTCTATTGTTGATCAAGATCAGCTCGAGCCAGGCAGCTCAGTACTCCTCCATAACAAAGTAGGTCTATAAGCCTAGCCTCCCAACTCGGTCACTTCTGCTTGCCTTCAGTCTATGTCTATCGTGGGTATACTAGCTGATGATGTTGACCCGTTGGTCAGCGTTATGAAGGTTGACAAGGTGGGTGCCTCGGCATAAGCTCATCGTTTAGTTGTCACTGGATGAATCAATAGTGTCAGTCCGCGGTGACTCATCATGAGAATACTCGATCGATTGATGGTCCTTTGAAATTGACAGTTGACTTTCAGGCGCCTCTCGAGTCTTATAGTGACATAGGTGGTTTGGAGCAGCAGATTCAGGAGATCAAGGAGGCCGTGGAACTCCCTCTGACCCATCCAGAGTTGTATGAGGATATTGGTATCAAGCCTCCGAAGGGTAACCATCATCGTGCTCATCTCCAGATCCTATTTGCTGTTCATCAGGTGTGATCTTGTATGGCGCGCCGGGAACAGGGAAGACACTGTTAGCGAAGGCAGTGGCGAACGAGACCAGCGCGACCTTCCTCAGGGTCGTGGGTTCCGAGCTTATTCAGAAGTACGTGTACACTGGATGGTCGGTGGGGTCCATAGAGCCGTGTGTAGGTATCTTGGTGATGGCCCTAAACTGGTACGAGAAATGTTCCGAGTGGCTAATGAGCAAGCGCCGTCGATTGTCTTCATAGACGAGATCGATGCTGTCGGCACCAAACGGTAGTAGTTCGTGTGCACTCAGAGAAGTTTTCTGATGATGTTGGTAGATACGATACCACGTCAGGGGGAGAGAGGGAGATCCAAAGTGAATGATGATCATTCTGGCTTTCCATCTTATGCGACTTCTTGTAGGAACCATGCTCGAGCTGCTCAATCAGCTCGATGGCTTTGATCAATCGGCTGATGTGAAGGTCATCCTCGCAACGAACAAAATTGAAAGTCTGGACCCTGCTCTATTGAGGCCTGGTAATCTTGGGGGTGATACTGTGGTTACACTCGAGATATGATTCTGCATAGGTCGGATCGATCGTAAGATTGAGTTCCCCTTGCCGGACATCAACACTAAAAGACGCATCTTCCAAATCCATACCTCGAAAATGACTCTAGCTGATGACGTGGACTTGGAAGAGTTTGTCCACAGCAAGGTGAGCTCGAGGGGTTCTGTCTACGTTGTGAATTGTACTTCTTAGGACGACTTGAGCGGAGCTGATATCAAGGCCATCTGTAGGGCGACAGAATCGAGGTTGTGATTAGTGGTCATCTGGGTAGGTACTGAAGCCGGTATGTTGGCACTGCGTGAGCGTCGCATGCGTGTGACTGCTGAGGATCTGAGGAAGGCTCGAGAGAAGGCACTGTATCGCAAGAAGGGAAATATTCCTGAGGGAATGTATCTGTAATATTCCTGCGATAGAGTTGAGATACTGAGTGAGTTTCATAGCGGAAAATAAGGCTTGTTGTGTTTTGAGTGAAGTTGGGCGTTAAGTGAATTGAAGTACTTGACGACAGACATTGCATACCCGAGAATGGTCAAATCCAAATAAGTTGATAAAACATCTCAATTAGCCGAAGCCGTCTCCAATGGCACATCCAATAAATAGGAGCTGATACCAGGGGTCTCTATTTGAGATGCTGAACCATCTTGGACAGACACAACTCTCGTACTTTGATATCACGTAGTTGATACTAACGAAAGCATCGTCATGACCAGTGGGGAAATCTATGGGTCTCTTGAGGTTATCCATACACATATCGATAGTTCGGCACTGGGGCTTCGCCAACCAGTGGAGAAGTTTTAGCCACATTTAGACTGTTCACCTGCTCACTTGCGACATGTCCGAAGATGTCCGCGGCATCCGAAGAATCAACTTTTCATCTTCAAAGCGTGAATCTTGTCGGCAGCGACTACTGGCTTTCGGCTGACCAGGATCCCCCTTTGTAAGTCTGAGTCACTGATGTTTATAAGTCTTTCGGCAACACCAAATCAGGATAAGAATGCCTCATCATTTCATTTACGATTTCGTACTGTCCCGAATTAACTCAGCGATGCTCTACATAATGATGGCTTTCTTGCGATCGAGTCGCAAGGCGGTTCATCCCCGCAATAATTCGTCATCATTTGCAGAAGAGGAATGACGTGATGATGGGTGATGTAACAGAGAACATCGCCCCACTTGCGTTGTCTTATAGTGCAAACTTCGACGTATTGCTTGGGGCGAAATGCTCTTATACGCATCGTTGCGTTTTATCAGTGGTATCCCGTTGACTCGTAGCTGCACTCAATTGTAACACAACTCATCTATCTTCACATCAGCAAAAAATACATAACAGTAAGGAACTTGCCATGGTACAGCACTGGAACACCATGATACTGATAGCCCATAGCAACAAGGCGGCTCACCTCTCGTTCGATATCGGCGGCTAACTCCGCCTCCGAAGCCTGACGGAGTGCACACTATGTTATGCCACGGACAACGAGTACTACAACGTTCAGAATAGTTTAGGCTCTAGGTCAGCCAGTTGCAAGGAAGTATCCCTACTAGGCGTGACTCGGGCTCATCACGATCGAGCACACCAAACTTGCCCTCAACCGTTTGGTAGATCTTTCTGACCTTCTTCCAACCTGCGGGAAATCAAAGGTACTCGGGCGCGACCGTCCGACGGGATATACCTCTCCTTCGATAACTATTCTGATCTCCTGAGAATAGACCCTTAGATCCCATGTGACTTACCCTTTGCAGACTTCAAGTCGAACACTGCGAAGCTGCTTTCTGACTCTATGGCTTCGTGCTTCATCATGAGCTGAGCCTGCTGTCTGTGAACCTACAACTGCCACCCGTGCGTTCACACCCCAGTAATTCACCTGTAGGCTGTTTTCCATTACGGCAGCCACTCTCTCTGGTCACCTAACTTCTCCTCTACGTCCAGTAGTATCGCTTCATCAATCTGCAAACACCGAAATAGTCCCTCCAGGAGTACGATGTGCCCACATCAATGACGTCGACACAGTGCACTGCGAGCTGCGATGATCTGCTCCAGTCGAGCGGTAGAGCCGTGCACGTCATTGCGCAAAGCCTATCCGAGACTTAGCCAACTGAGACGCTGCGCCTAAGGCGCTCCCAACATCGTCCCTAGATCCGCCTTTATTAGCACTCACCTGACGCACTTCGTGAGGTAGGCGCTGAACTTGGTCACCTTATCTCAGTGGCTGGCCACATATATGCCGGAGATGCCAGAGATACTGATTTCGAGCGCTGAAATCATATACCAGGAAGCGATCCGCAACACCGTACATGTAGGAAGAAATACCCCTGATTTCAGCCATCAGATGGTCCTCCTCTGCACTTAGCTGTTGTTTGTCACGCTTCAGCCCATGAAGGCATCGAGAACGTCTCCCATTGATGTTGTAGTAGCTCCGAATGAGCCCCCTGTCCACCCTCTGTCACGTTCCCTAGGACCATTCAGCTCATCCTACTTGGAATGCATATTCGCGATATTAGTATCCTCGATGAAGTCTTGCGGAACTACAAAGAGCAGAGATGTTACTCGCGGGGAGAATGCCTTTGTCATTCCCTGTGACATGATGCCACCATCTATCTGAGTACACCCTTTCCTCCAGCACACGTAGGCAAACTAACAATCACAATACGAAATTGGAGTGCTCTTTTACAAAGCCCTACTTATCTGGTCCATTGTTAATACAATATCCTATCATCAGGGTAGTCAGAAATGGCGACAAAGCTGACGATGTACTAACTCGTATCCTCTACATATTCGCTGCGCATATGCATCTAGAACATTGATCTGTCATCA